GAAAGAACAGTTCACAGTCCTTTTTTGTTTCTGTTGTTTCGCTTAGTCGGGGATACAAGTTGATGCAGAGGTTAAGAAACTATATGACGACATAAAACTCCTTCATGCCTACCCGTGGGCCATCTTTAAGATCAATCGACAGAAGACTCGAGTGATTGTCGACACCAAGGGTGCCGGGGGCTACAGCGACTTCCTAAAAGCTCTGACGACATCAGGGGAGCCACGATACGGCATTTTTGACACTCCCAAGGAATGGGGTGGGGAAAAACTTGCTTTCATTTTCTGGTACGTATTTACTTACATTTGAAATTCCAAATGTTTTTAAATAAGGTATTTGGAACAAGACAGTGTAATCTATCAACCATTACTATGACGGAAAGACTGATTGACGACTGAGCTCACAAACGGACTGAACAAAAATAGATAACTTTACCCATATTTTGTAAGCAGAAGAACGTTATGCCGCGTAATGTGACTCAAAAGTCAAGATCTCGATTTCCTTACTTTCTAGGTGTCTTGACGATGCCAATATGGGACTCAAAATGATTTACGCCTCCTCTAAGGACGACTTGAAGAAACAATTTGAAGGCATCATTATAGAAGTGCAGATAAAAAACAGGAACCAATCAATCAAGGAGGAATCAATCAAAGAGATCGCGAAGCATGCCTGAAGCCTGCTTGCTGGCAGGCCATGAAGACTTCAACGTCTCTGTTACCGTACAATGTTTGAAGGGGCAACAGGGATCATACTCCCGTCATTAAATTTATTTTAATTGATTGAAATTATATGGGCATACATTATAGAGACTGTATTTAATCAACACTAATTTGATGAACTGTGATGCACGCGGAGTTTTGTTTTCATTTGAGATTTTCAGGGTTTAAAACGTCAATTGATTCCCGTTTGGGATGTATACCAAAACATTACCCTATAAAAGTAGTGGGTTCTGCGAGAAAAAGAAATTTCAAGTTGTTTACACTTTTGTTTGTCATTTAGGATTCATTAAATGACATCAAAATAGTTGGCTTTGTATGTAGAAGTACGCAAATTTAAATTTCTGGAATAACATAATTTAATAGATTACAGCCTCTTTAGATACAGCAAAAAAGTTTTTAAAAAGTTTGCCTTACTCTGGCATATGTATCATCTCTAGACTGAGAACCGTTAAAGCGTATCTATGGCACACTTATCTCAGGAGGTGTTGAATAGATGGAGAAAACCGCAAAAACTTTTATATGTCTTTCAATTCTTTAACTATTATTTTATTTTACTAATCTATTTCTTCACCCAAGGTTTATTCCTTATAATCAGTTTATTTTCTTTCGAGGTAGATGTTATGTTAATATTAATATATTAATATAAATGCTTTTGGTTTTGTTCTGTATTGGTTTTTTGGCCGATTTCGGCTAAACAACGGCTAATTTCACCTTATACACACTTCTCTGTGTATTTTGAATGAATAAAAGATTGCACTTTATTCACACCGGTCCCTTTGGTTCTTTCTGGCAGTTCTCAAATAATCACCCTGCTCAGAACAATGTTAATGGCCTAGTTGCGATAGTAAAGTGGCTTTGGACCTCTTCGTGTTTTATCTACAAGCCGAAGTTAGTCCCGTTCAACACCCCCCCCCCGTCGCTTGAATGTCGATATACATTTTACACGTGTAGCCTACGTAGCGAGCACAAGCTTCCCTTTCTGTAACTTAATCGTATCGTATTATAGGGTTTATCGTTGTCGACTGAAATACGGAGGTGATCCCCAGCGCCTTAAAAATTTTGCGGAAATGAAGTTTCTTTGAAGTTGGAAATATACTAATTAAGTTACTCGTGTACAGCAAAAGGTTGTCTTGTAATGAATTTTGGCGTTGGTAAAACATCCCCTTGGCTTTTTTAAAAGGGAAATCTTTTCGTTTTGATCGATTCACTGCAGCTTTAATTCTATTGACTTGCCCCGGATGACAAAACAACAGCGCCCTGAGTTATCATGGATAATTCTAGAAGTTTTGAAACGTGCACTTTTCAATGCATTTAACAAAATAGGAATGTAAAATAGTTTCATACATTGAAGAAGACAAGGTTGAAGAAATATTGCGTTTTGGAGATAAGCTCCTCAATTGATGTCAAAAGTCCAGATTTACAAAACAACACAATCCGAGGGCTAAAGGGGCCATTGCCCAGACCCCCAAAAGGGAGCCCCCTCCTTTCAAAAGGGGGGGGGTTTCCCCCATCCCTTTCAAAGCGTATAGAAAGTTCTAAACTTGAGATTCACCCTAACGACAAGCCAAAATAGGTTTTTTTAAATCCCAGATTTTGGGCCCAATAAACAAGCTTGCCCCTATTCCTAAAATGTAATTCTAGATCTTCTATTGATAAATAGGCAGTCACAAACACGATCCCCTTTGCAGCTCCCTTTGAGTAACCCACATTATTTCTGGCGCAGTCTTATGTGCTGATAAACTAGCCTGCATTGAGGAGAGAATTGTTGGAGCTTAAGTCCACGCCACAAGGGATAAGCACGTGGACGATAATGAAGACGCCATTATAGAAGTTTGTTCATTGTGAATAACAGCAGTGCTTCGCTCTTTAGCAGTTAGGAAGAAGTCAAACGCAAGCCAGTCCACCAAAACCTCTCAGCTAGGGTTATTTCCCCTTCGAGGCAGTTTGGGGGTTTCAGATTTACTGAACTTTAGTTCCATTTACTTGTTTATTGACTTCATGAAAAGTCAGTGAAACTTCACTTGTCAAAGCAAAGATTGTTTAATGTGTCTTGCGCAGACTCCATAGACTACATGAAGTTCGTGAGTGAGTGAACAATGCACACGGGGAGAGAAATACGCAGAACAAATATAAACCGGTGGGCTACTCATCTCCCTTTTAAAAATGCAGTGTTCCGCGGTTTACCAGTGAAAAAGTGCCTCTCTGAGCAATAAAGCACCCTGGAGTAAAGATTCATGGAGCAGCTAGTGACTTTACTATAATCAACTCGAGTCATGTGTACATGTACGGAAGTGCATGGACGACTACAACCAGTGAAACCACATGAACTTTAGCGTTTTCACGTCAGCAATGCAATTCCATCGCACGTTTCACTTGACAGATATAAAACCTAAACATAAAATATGGACACAAGGAAATAATGCCTGGATAACCGGAAGGTCTAATAATGTCTGGAAATGAAAATGAGCATGTACTTAGAAAGGGTAGTTGTGTTTGCAAAGCATGTACAGCCGGCCGTTTCGACCATTATGCCTCAGGTGTGGTATTGAAACGGGGACATTTCCACGGAAGAAAATTCTTCTTCACATCAGAAAGATAAACTTTGGTTTGTGTTTAAATCCTTTTTTGCTTCTTGTTTTCTTCTTTAAAAGAGTAATTTGCAGTTGCGTAAATTTGTGCTGAGGACTTTGGCATAGGGGGTGACGTATTTTTAAAAAAATGCCCGGTCATAGAAATTTAAATGGGAGGGCTGCTGCTCGTGATACCGGTGTACATCTTTGTTCACGTGTACACTAACACTTCTGAACCATACATCAAAGCGTCGTATTTAAAGGTAGTGAATACCACCGTTTTTCGTCGAAAAACAGCATTTTCAACGCCAGTAAATCGAAGGTCTTGTAATTTACATCTTGCGTAAAATCTATGGATTACAGGGCGCCGTTGTAGTAAGCGAACAACATCCGTGGGGTCAGGGTCGCAAACAGGTATGACAGGTTCTCACTCCCTTAAAAAGGAGCGTCTTTCAATTGCTAGGGGTAATCAGTGAATTTACCTTGGAGTACTGCGCCTCCTCGACAATGTAACATTGCCAATTCATGAGCAAGTTCGTCCAGGAATCCAGTCGAAACTTCTGTTTCTCCATACACAAATATTTATATTTAAAGTATTAAAATTGCTTTAATACTTTGTAAAAAATACTTTCAAGCATTACAGCCTGCAAGGGGCAACACATGCGTCTACTCAAACTTCTTAAAGCGCTGAGCCGGTTCAAGAAAAAGGCCATTTATGTTTAGATTTGCAATGTACATGTATTTGCATACAAAAGTCGATTGAGCAAGTTTTGTAACTTATTATTTTTCGTGTCTGTTTTTCCCTCCCCCCTGTTTACCAGTCCATTGTTTAGTACGAATGAGGGTAATACCGTCCGATAGAATAGAGGGGGGGGGTATCGCCTCCGTCTGCAGCCCCATTTGTGTACATTATCATTTGAGCAGCGAAACAAAATGGTGGCGTCGCGGATTAATCTTTTATAAATGCCGTAAAACGCCGTCATGATGTATTCTCCAAATGAGGTAGGGCCTATATATGGGGCTTACATCCGGGGAGATCGGGGTACAATACCCACATTACATGCATATCATTCCCTTCTCTTTCGTGGGGGATACGTTGAAATGCTTATGACATTGAAGGGATCAAATAAAAACCTTAAAAGATGCTAGTGTTAGAATTTCTTCTGGTGACTTTATTCACCTTCAGGTTGATTAATTGGAGGGGGTAAGCGAAGACCATTTACCAGTTATTGCTGCTTGCAAGCCCCTTGCACGTAAGTTCTTCAGTACAGATTCACTGAATGCAAGTATAGCTAGATTTTAAGGAGTCTGTAGAACTCGTCTGCACCAGATCCAACTACCCACCGCTACTTATGTAAGATGGACTGTACGTTCGCAACACTTGTAAGCTAGCCTAGGCCGTTCCCCAATACTCAACTTCGTCTCCGTTCAGGTTTGTTCCCCTGACCAATCCCCGACTGTGTGCCTGAAGCGTTTAAATTACATTGGATTACTGTAATTTTTGGCTTTCTTGCATCTTATTTGCTGTTCTGTAGCACTATTAGACTGATTGCTGCGCTTACAGCTTCAAAGTCAGCTAGTGAAAAAAAGCAGTTGAAGGCTGAGACGGAACCGAATTGAGTATTCAAGTTGGAAAACGGCCCAGTTTTAGCTTGTGCACCGCTGTTGTGTGACAAGTGGGGGCGCTTTTCATGCAATGCGCGAACGCTACCTTCTGTTCTGGTCGTAGTTCAGAAATAAATAGTCAAGTTGTTTATAAACTAGATTTTGTGTTGGCCAGCAGTACATTGTACCTCTTCGGTTAAATCGAGAAAAACATAAACAGCAAGGAGGGCTTTAGGATTCCTTGAAGGGTAGTCATCAGATACAACTGTACATGATGTATGTCGTCAGATACGTTTGACCAGGCTGAAATAGGTTTGCGGGCTGTTTCCGGTTGTGCACACACTGATCGAGTCCCAGTAGCTGTAGCGTAGGCTACGTTTAGGTACCAAGTCGGAAGTCCATGGCTAACGGGTGAGTGATAAAATACATGATGTAAATTAGCTCTACTAAGTGGATCGTTAGTATTCCTCTTTTTCGAGGGGTCAACATGGGATAAGGTACATGTGCATCTAATCTTCTCGTCAATGATGTGTTAAGGTTCTTTGAGAGTGGTGCAGCTGCAGAAGACTAACATGTGACTTTGTAAGGCAAGGGCCTGTTTATTTCCCATGGATCTGGATTTCCATCAGTGACCCAAACGCCACTTCACCCCATCCATTACGATTTACTCATGTTACTTGGGTTGTGGTGTCGGTGAATCAACATCGGATCACTGATCGCTACCATGCGAATCAAGCAGGCCCTTCGTGTACATGAGGGAGTAGCATTTACTCAAGAGGCAAATCTATGTACTGCTTTCCGGTACATTTAATATAATGCCTGCACATTTCTGAACTGGACAACCTTGAATGTCGTTACAGAGAGGATAATCTCACTACATGTAAGTTGTCAACCTTCCAGTAAAACTTCGGAGACATACAGTACATGTATGTACTATGTAATTTATCAATTTGATGTTGAGGGAGACTTATGTACAGTTTTTTACATAAACATTGAGAATTTTGAAAAAGCACAGCCGAGAAGGATTGACAGCATTAATGGAAGTCCAAGATTTGGGGATTTATCAGATGGACAAGTAAAGTAGTTTTCCATACAGGTACAGGTACTTGAAATCCATGACCTTGCAATACTATGTATGTTTTGAATGGGGTAGACGTTCAGATTTCTCATCATTCAACTTTACCAACTGTCTAATTTTCTGAACTTAAATACAGGTAACATGTTTTTACAGTCCAAAATTACCTGAGAATGCAGTCTTGGGAAGTCTTCCTTTGCCACCACTGAAGCCCTGATGTCTAGACATACATGCACAGTTGTCTCTCTCTTGCAGCCATTACAAAAGTGTTTATTGCCGCATGGAGTGCATACACCATAAAAAGAATACAAGTGTTACACTGCCAAAGTATGTACATGTACCTTAAATTTTGCACCACTGTTTTTGACACATAGCAAAGAGTTGGTGTGCATGGATTCTTCGATGGATTCACTAGTCAGTAGAGAGTCCCATGTCTCACAGTAAGTATGGTACATGTATACGTGCACGTTCGTGTACGTGTGCCATTTACCGTATGAGATTTATGCATTAAGTTACAAGTGCTCTTGTCACAACTGTGGATTACCAGGTTTTGTTTTAGAATTCAGAACACTTCAAACAGCTTTTGAAGTTCATGGTACAAATGACCTTGATTGATTTATGCTCATGATGAGCCATGGTTCTGCAGCACACCAGGGCTAAACATGTACAAGCCAAAACTGTTGGATGGTAAACATTGATTCACACTGCAAGTACGTACGTTTTTGTGTGAATGCACTCTGAGAAGTTCTGCCAACGATAACCAGGTAAAATTCATAAAATTCATTTCAGCACACCACAGGACATGCCTAGCCCCTTGGAAGTGTTACCACAGGACACACCACAGGACATGCCTAGCCCCTTGGAAGTGTTACCGTAGCATTTCTTTGCGCTGTTTATTGCATAAAGCTTTTTTAGGACCATCCATCCAGGAAAAAGAATGTTAACGTACAGTGGTTCTAGTGGTTCTGTATGTGTCTGTGTTTTTGGAACAGTGTTGGACATATTGGAAGAGTGCGTCCACACGAATGTAATATGCTGTTCTTAGCTTTGACTGGTGCCAACACTGCACCAGTTTCCTTGCATGCACATCTATGGCATGAAATTGCAGCTAAGATAGAGTTTGTATCAGCATCATAATTACACAAGAGGTGGCCACAAAGGCCAAGGTACCTGGACCACCCAGGTTTAGCATATGTCGAGACACACCCATACTGGAAGAAAAAATGTGTTGTTAAATGCTGGTTGATTTGCAGTCAGGCACAGCGACACTCGGTATGCTGGGAAAGGTACGGCTTCCAATATGGCAGCATACAGTTCTTCAAAGGTTCCCAGAAACACAAGAAGAACAGCAAGGTGAGCGTGTGCTTGCTACACTAGTGAGGACCTGTACCAGCAAATAAAGGTTCATGAGGTCCACATAATGCAGATTGTACATACCAGGTATGAACCTCATATGGACAAGCCAAGTCCACCTACATGTACATGTAAGTACTGGTGAAGTTTAACCTCTCCGACAGTTAGTTTCAAAGGCATTTGGGGAGGTGATCACAGCACAAAGAAATCTGAGTAAGAGAAGGAAATCACTCACTGAAGAGCAGTATATTGCACGGAATCCAAAAGCCCAGCTGAAATCTGTGTTTTTATAGCACTTGCAGCAAGAATGGTTATAAACACTGCATTTTCTTAACAACATGGAAACAGGACTGTACATGTAGACGTGTGATTCCACAAACACTCTCTCTTCCAGCAGGTGTCTGATATGGGGATGTACACTTAGGCTACAGGTATGGGCGTGTCTATTCTACCCCTCCACACCCCTCACAGCTCTTTCAGAATTAAGTAAGGGGGAGGAGTGGAGCTCTGGCTGTAACCACCTCTCCCCCCTACTTTGCCCCTCCGCATCCACTGCTATTGCAATGCAATAACAAGATACTCATTTACGTTTTGATGTTAGTCTGAAAAAAGTGCATGTTGTAGATTAAGAGATTTCATATTGCAGTGGTTTGTGTCATAGAAAGGAATCAGTGAAATTAGGCCATGCTGTCACATTTGCATTTGTTTCTAGTTAATGCCAGTTTATCATTATTCTGGATGGTCATTTTAAATTATTGTTTGTACTTTCTTGTCTTCATATTCTTATTTCTGGTTTGATTATGGACAGTTCCTGATCGTTGATACATGTACCGGTAATGAGGAGACACCAGAAACTGTGCTACGTTTTCTCCATGAGAAGTGGAATCTGGACTTGCCCAAGCTGCTTATCCATTTGGTTGCTGCAGACAGGCAGGACAGAGTGCAGTTTGACAAGATGATGGGCAAAATGTTCACCAAGGAACTGATTGACGCCATTCGCCACACAGGTAGATCCATACCTGCTTGAATCTGGATTATCTTTGTGTTGCAGCATCCTCTAAATCACTTCAACATAAGTTGCTTGCTGTGACTGACTGTAGAATTACCGGTGAAATGGATATGAGCCACTAGCATTGTAGTTGAGACATCACAAAACCAGACAAAAGACTGGCCACAAGCGACTGCATGAGAATGTAATGATGTCACTGTTGTCCATTTGAAGAACTTGTAACTTGAATTCAGGCTGGAGGTCTTACGTTAGTCTTGTGATGGTCTTGAGAGGTCTCAAAAGCATAACTGTCAGTCACGCACTTTACTCTTGGCAATCGCACAGGATTGCCAAGATAATATGTGTGTATCCCAATAGCATATACCCCTCCTTTTCATTCATCTGGAGTCTATTGCTGATATGACATCCTCAAAAGATCTTCGTATGGAGGGCACTGACATACGGGGTGACTGGCCCACCTACAACAAAAGGACAAGCGATCTTGTATGATCCTATTTTAACCAGGCACCAATCTTTTCTGGCCAAGGTGGTTTCGGAGTTCAGTGTCAACTGATTTAGAGCCGGTGACAATGAATGCACATGTATTCCTTTTGCAGATGTCTGGCTTTTGACACATGGACTCCACCATGGTATCACAGAAAGCTTGGGCAAGGTGCTGACAGACAATGCAACTGAAATTGTCATGGCAGACCAGCATCAGCTTGTTGCCATAGGGATTGCACCGGGACAATTTGTATCGCAAATTGAGAAGTTACAGCAATCTGTGGTATATCTGTGTCTAATTTACAATCTGGACGTGATTTCAAAGAGCTGCTTAAATTAAGCACAAAATTTGCTTAATTTTAAGTGTAAAAAACAAAGGTCACCAGCTCAAACTGTATCTGATTGTCATGCTAACCAAAGACAGATAAATACAATCCCAAAACAATATACATCAAATACAGTTTTGGCTGGTTACCTGATTTATCAAGCAAAGTTTTCTCGCGCTTAAGCAAATTTTGTACATGAGCAGCTCTATGAAATTGGCGCCTGTAGGACATGCTTGATTGCATTATAAGGCATATGTTATTCAATTGTATTCATATTATGTCAGCGGTGATCTGTGCCATCCTCCAGCCCCACTCTTTCAGTGACTTGCAACGTACATTTTACCCATTTAGATTAATACACTTGTTGTCATGCAAATGGCTTTCACAATAGCTGTCATGAATAGAGCAGTTACAAATCACGCAAAAGGGGGCTGCCCTAAAATGGACGGGAAATCTGAATAGGCCTGCATGAGTGGGGCACGTGTCTGTTGTCCGGGATAGAGTTTGTGAAGTGAATGACCCATTGAGGGTAGGAGAAACTCAGGAGCACATACAAAGACATGCCTAAAAGAAGCACTACCAATGTACAGGTATTACCTAGGTAAGATGCTTAAACTTGATTTCTTGTCAGTTGTACATGTACCTGTATCTTGAACACTTACATGTACACGTACTTTATGAATTGACAATTCCCAGCCAGTCAGAGATAATGCATGGTAATAGGTGACGTTAGAGGTACTCAGTCTTGGTCCCTGTTTGTGCAGGGTGGACCTGTTGAATATCAGATGGAATCTGCCAACATCAGCCACGATGATGTAAGCAGATGCCTGCTCAACCCTGGCCATACCCACTTCATCATAGAGCAGGACAGAGAGCGGGATGCCTTGCTACTCGATGTTCTTGTCACCAAGATCACACAAAGCAAAATACAGCAGACCAACGGTTAGTTAATTCACATCTTCGCAGTTCCACCTCCTACCGGTATGTGAATAAGTCATTCATTTGGCAATGGACCCTTTGCTTAAATTCAGGGAAACGGTTTCAACTGGTCAAAGTGAAGAATCTGCACCACAGCAACTGACGTCATGCCTGTGCAGTACTCATTTAATTGTTTTTTCCCTCAGCCACTGTGCCTGTGGTGTATGTGTTGTTTGGTGGGGATGAACACAGCTTACTGACCATCCACAATGCTGTGGTTGAGAGGAACACACCAGTCATTATTGTAGCTGGATCTGGGGGTGTGGCCGACCTGTTAGCGGGCATTGATCAACCCAGAAGCAAGAGGTAAAGTAAAATGCTTTCAAGTAATGGGACTTTTTGCTGTCTGCTGATCTATTCATGGGTCCTTCTATCAAAGCTTGAGCCATTCAATCCCTG